GTCTTGTCACTTAGCTAATACATTATGTAATAGAAAAGATATAAAGAAATTATTCACTGGCTTGCTGGTTTAAGAATAATTCATCTCTCTGCACAGAGCTTCAAATTAACTGGCAGAATTATCTTTACCTACAGTTGTATTTAGTTTTTTTTTTAATTTAAATTAAAAGAAAGCATAAGCTTCCACTCAGGAAGAAAGAATAAAATGCTGTTCTGTTTTCTTTATCATTTTAGGCACTGTGTTTTTGGACAGAAATCCACAGAATAACATAGACAGCCTTTTTATGCACGCACCAAACTCAATATCCCTCTATAAGAAAAGTTCTGTTCAAGTTTGATCACATAAAGAAAATAAAACTTAGTGCAGGTAAATACAATTCTTAATACAAGCAGAGTTCTCCTTAGGGTTCCTGTGTGACCTGCATTAACTCCAGAAATCAACAGAATTGTAAAGTCATTAATCTTAGAGGATAAAATGTAAACCAGGTGGGCAGACTCCTAAGATCAGTTAAATCGGCCCCAGAAAAAGATTGCTAATTAGTTTCCCTGAGTGTCTGTAACTGTTCAACATTAACTCTGATTCCTGCCAAATTCAGCTCCAGAACAAAGAATGACCATTCATGACATATCAGGTTTTTCGCATATTTCTGTTACCAACTTACATTTTTAAGATGAAAAGGAAATTCTAGAATTCTGAAGACATATTATCATTTATTTATTATGTTTGTGATTCATGATGACATCCTTAAGTCTTATTTCAAGAAGATTTAATGCAGAGTGCTGTCTAGATCTTCCATTTTCTCAACTAAGGCTTGACTGTAATTATTTTCCAGATTAAGAACAGTATTATAATTACTGTCAGGCATATTGCAAATATTCCTATATATAATAAAATAATTTTATTTAGGTTTTATTTTATTCATAGTTATAAATCTTTATAAAATAAAGATTTATAGTATGAATTATTGTGTATATATGCATATACATTAAAAGCATCAAATGCTATTTTACCTATAGAGAAATTGAAGCATATAAAATCCTGTAAAGTGCACAAGCTCACAGTAGTAAATACCTAAGCTTTTTAATAAGATAGTAAGTATAGGCAGACTCTATCATCTCCCCTTCAACAAAAATTACTTCAATTAAACAACTATCCTGGAAAATACTGGAATTAGTTAAGAAATCTTATAAAAGGAAGACTTTAGAAGCTGGAGAAGGAGTACAGAAGACAGGATGCTTGCCTTGCATGTGCTTGACCTGAGTTTGAGTCCCAGCACCCCATGAGGTACACACTCCTACTAGATATGATCCTTGAATGCAGAGCCAAGAGTGAGCCCTGGTACTATGTAGCTGTTAGAAAAGATGAAGTCATGAAATTTACATACAAGTGGTACAATATGGAAAGTATCATGCTAAGCGAAATGAGTCAGAAAGAGAGGGATAGACATAGAAAGATTGCATTCATCTGGGGGATATAAAGTAACAAAATATGAGATTAATACCCAAGAATAGCTGAGATCAGCACCAGGAGGATTACTCCATAACTTAGAGGCCAGCCGGGTATCCTAGAGGAAAGGGCAGCTCAGATAGAGAAGGGAGCACCAAATAAAGGATGTTTGGAGCATCCTCCCAGGAGGGGAGATGCATGTCGAAAGTAGACTATGGACTGAACATGTTTGCCACTCAATGCCTCTTTTGCAGACCACAACACCCAAAAGGAGAGAGAGAACACAGGGGATTGCCCTGCCACAGAGACAGGGGGGATGGGGGGATGGGGGGATGGGGGTGGGAGGGATATTATCCATGGTGGTGGAAAATGGGCACTGGTGGAGGGATGGGTATCTGATCATTGTATAATTGAAACCAAAGCACAAAAAATTGTAAATCTACAACTTAAAAAAAAAATAAAACAAAATAAAGGGGAAAAAAAAAAGAGTGAGCCCTGAGCATTTCTGGGTATGAACCCACCCCCCAAAAATGAAGATTCTATTTGATCTTCCTTTCATTCAAATCTGAAGACAGTCATTCAAAACCACCTTGTAAGGCCAGAAAGATAGTGTTAGGGATAAGTTGTTTGCCTTGTATGCAAATAAACCCAGTTTAATTTCTGGCCCATGTATGGTCCCCTGAGCACTTTCAGTAGTTATGCCTGAGCACAGTAATCCCAGGGTATCTCCAGGTGTGCCACCAAAATCAACATCATCATCATCATCATCATCATCATCATCATCATCCCCCAACTTTGTGAAAAAATATAAATTTAATAATGTAAAATGGTCTGCAAGAAGATTAAATAACTAGATTGGGAAAAAATTACTACTTCTCAAGAAATGCTAATTATTTGATAAAGGACTAGTAACAAAATACACCCAAAAAACTCTTAAAATGCCACAATAAGAAAACAAACAACTGGGGCTGGAAAGAGAGCACAGTGGGTAGGAAATTTGCCTTGCACGCGGCTGAGACGGGTTCAATTCCCAGCATCCCATATGGTCCCCTGAGCACTGCCAGGAGTAACTCCTGAGTGCAGAGCCAGGAGTAACCCCTGTGCATCGCCAGGTGTGACCCAAAAAAAAGCAAAAAAAAAAAAAAACAACTGAGTTTTGAAAATAACCAAAAGTTTAATAAATCACTTCAGAAAAATATTCAGAAGGAAGCTACATAGATTTAAAAAATACTACATCATATGTCTTTAGAGAAATGTAAATTACTGCAATGAGATATGACTACTCACATATTAAATCAAAATATGGAATATTGACAAATACATAAAAGCTGGTTAGGATGTGGAGTAATAGTAATTATTCCAATGCCACATAATACTGTCATTTTGGAGGACAATTTTGATTGTTCCTCACAAAATAAATTCACAAACTAGTATGCAACTGTTGATATTTACCCAAAGAAATTAAGCTTGTATTCATGTTTACGCACATACACAGACACAGTCCTGCACTTTGACATTTATTAAAATGCTTATTCCTAAATGCCAAAACTTGGAAACAAGATGTCTTTCAGTTAGGTGAGCAGTTGAAAAAACAGTATACGTTCAGACAAAAACTGATAATCTCTGAAAAAAGAAATGAGTTATCAAACCACAAAAAATACTTGCAGGAAACCTAAATGTGTATAACTAAGTGAAGAAAGCCAATCTGTAAAGGTTACATACTGTATGGTTCCGATTATAAGACATTCTAGAAAAAGCAGAACTATGGAGACAGTAAAATGTTCAGTGGGGACTGGAGCAATAGCACAGCGGGTAGGACATTTGCCTTGCACGCATCTGATCAGGGTTCAATTCCCAGCATCCCATATGGTCCCCCAAGCACCGCCAGGAGTAATTCCTGAGTGCAGAGCCAGGAGTAACCCCTGAGTGTTGCTGGATGTGATCCAAAAAGCAAAAGAAATAAATAAAAATAAAAAATAAAATGTTCAGTGCTTGCAAAGGGCTGACAAGGGTAAATGGGAGAACACTTAGAATTTATCATATAATATTATCTTATAATTATGGTACTATAATGATAAACTTATGTCATTATATATATGTCCAAATGCACAGACTGTAGAGCACCAGGAGTGGACCCTAATGTGCATTATGAATTTCAGGTTATTATGATGTGTTCATGTAGGCTGTTTATCAATTGTAATAAATAATCACTCTGGAAGTGAATAGCAGGGAAAGCTTTGTATCTTCTCAGTTTATCTGTGAAACTATTCTAAAAATAAAGTCCTTAAAAAAAAATTGCACTCAAGTCTGTGCTCCCTCCGAGCCAATACTTGTTGGCCTGGATAACTGCAAACCCACTGGCATGCCTTGACTGAATCGAGTTGACACTTCAGTTTATTTTTAATATATTGAATTTAATAAATAAACTAATTAGGAAAAAGACATAAGTTCAACTCTACTTTCTTAATATATTTGTTCTTAAGCAAAATTGACAGATTTCTCAAATTGTTTGACACACTCCTTTGTGTGGTGAGGGAGAAAGTCTGTGTGTTTTTCTAGAACTCACTTGTCAGTGCGTCAAAACTGTGTGCGGTGGAGCCACAACTTACTAAGTGTTGTGAGATCTGATAAAGGCAACAGCTGTTTTAGATCCACTGAGCTTCAGAGGAGCCATCTATGATGATTTTCAATTTTATTTATATATTTATTTCCTACCTTTCCCTTTGCGAGAGGACTTGAATCGTTTTTGTAATTTATAATATTGTGCAAAAATTAAGCACTGAGAGCTAAAACAAGAGAGTTCCTCTATAACAGGGGTCCTTACAATGTTTGCCCAACTGGCATTATGGTCATATCCTGGGCACTAGTTAAAAATGCACTTTGTCAACCTACCTCAAACTACTAAGTCAGGAACTTCAGGAATGAGATACAGCAATCTGTGTTTTTAGTAACTGCTTCAAGAGATTCTAATGTACACTCAAGACAGAACCATTGCCTTAAAGGAACAAAAAGCAGGTTCAAAAGCCAGGTTCACAATTCTTTGATTTCTGTTAAGTAGTGAACAGGAAGTACTAAGGACTTTTTATTGGGTTTTAACTAATACTATGTGACTAAAATTTCTTTTATGTGATTTCAATTTTTATTTTTTAATCTGCAGTTCAGACACTGAGTTTGAGTCAGACAGACCTGGTCAAATACAGTGGCAGGCTGAGAAAGATGAGTCACTAACAAGCAGTTTAATTAAATCAAGCAAAACATTTAAAATCCAGAGTGATCCATAGAGTTATACTAGTTAGCTTTACAAATAAATTGATTGACAATGTGGCAAGCTAATTATTTACTTGGAAATTAGTTAAAAATACCCAATCTCTTCAAAGCATACAACGTAATCCGTTCAAGTAAAATAACCCCATGTTAGCTTTAGGAAATGGTTGTCTCTGCCAAATAAAATATTTCATAATAGAGACTGGCATGCCCCCCCATACCCTGAGTGGTAACAGGAAATATAGAAGTATTGAACGCAAGAGTAATGACCATTTCTCTTTATGCCCTAGCATGGAAGGTTCTATTGTCCGTCTACCCCAGATCGTGGCTCTAAAGAAGAAATACAAGGCTTACCTCTACATAGATGAAGCACACAGTATTGGGGCTGTGGGTCCAACGGGTCGAGGTGTTGTGGAATTCTTTGGAATGGACCCTCGCGATGTTGATGTGCTCATGGGCACATTTACAAAAAGTTTTGCAAGCTGTGGAGGTTACATAGCTGGAAGAAAGGTAAGAAAGGAATTCCTTGTGTCTGAATACTGTGGGGACTCGGTCTTCAGGGTTTCTCTGAATGCTCTTAATGCTGCAGTGCAGTTCAACATCTCAGTTGATCAGCTACAAGTGGGTTCACAGCTAAGATCCTGAAAACACAAGGAGTTTACCTTTTAACAGTGAAGATAAGGGGGTCCAGGATATAGCTCTCAGAGGTAGAGAGGTCACCATGCGTGTATGAAGCCCTAGCTTTGATCCCTGGCACCAAACATACACCAAGAAAGAGCACTAATGAGTAATCACATTACAGTAAATGCAGGCAGAAACTCAGTTCAAAGAAAACGGATGATTAACTCTGTGAGTTAATACGTAAGAAATGTTAAATGTCAGTCTGGCAGACAAATAGTGGAGATTCATATTCCAGAAAAAGGAAATAATGAACATCAAGACACAAAAATAGCAAGGGAGTATTACTGAATTCTAAGCATTTTTTTTATTTGGTTTTGGTTTCTGCGGCATGGAAAAGGTGAGGAGCAAATATCAGATATTAAGGAGACTGATTCTGTGCTGCATATTGTGGATTTTAAGAGTTTAACTTAAAACAATAGCAATACATAGATCTAATTTTATGATATTTCTCCATGAAACAATTCTCTTCTATAATTTTAGATAGACCAAAGTTAAGATCTTATCATTCTTTGATATCTTATCTACAGGAATTAAAATTCTGATGTGGTAAGGGTTAGATTGTTAAGTGAGCTGTCATTCTAGTACTAGTATAAAATGAGGTTGCCAATGTAAAATAATAAATGTTTAAAAATAATTTTAAGGAGAAGGAAAAGAAAAAAGGAAACAAAACATTCAAGTCTAGATTTGAGGAATAAAAGAATCTGTTGTCTGTTTCACTGCATGGTAGTTTGATCCAAATTCTAATAATTCACTCATATATACTTACACCTGTCCCCAAGATATTATATGGCAGTAACATTGATCCCAATTATGAGAACATGGCAAACACCCCAAACCAGAGGGTGCAAGGAGCATCAGATACAGCTAATCTAAAATTCCCAATTCCTTAGCCATTGTGACCAGCAAGAACAAGAGTTTACATTCCTAGCAAACCAGTTCCACTGAATCCAACAGAACCATCTAATCATTGAAATTCCATGAATTATAACAACATAATTCAGTGGTCCTGCATCAAGTGCACAAATGCTTAAAAGGTTCAGTATTTTAGTGATCTTTACCCTTCATTCATTACTTTCTCCAACAATGAAAGCATTGTTTTACATCTTTCTTCCACTTGCCTGTGGAAATTAGCTGATTACTGCTAAAATCATACCAAGTGCTCAGGATCTTACAAACTTCAGCTAACTCTGGTCAAAGGTGAAATGTTCCCTTCCTAGAATGTCAATGCCTTGGGATCAGAATTTAGGACCTCCTGTATCCAGGCTTCGTTGCTTTGTGCATTTGTGGTTTTGTGATTACTTTAACAGCAGTTCTCAGCTACGAAATTTTTAACCAACCGTAACTCTGTTTCCTGAACCAAAGGCACCTGAATAAACTGAAGCAAGCCGATAGATCCTTGCAATGTTGTCAAATTCGGTCACATTCTCCCCCGCCCCCACCCCGTGTTCTTCGTTTGATATCCACTTTAAAGAAAGGTTCATGACTAGCCTAAAGAAGTTTGTGTGGCTCTTTCTTCAATTCTTACTCTCTATCCTGAAGTCAGAATATTCTAAAAGGATATTTGCTCTTGTCATCCTGCTAAATTTGGAGTTGACTGTAAAAAAAATATTTTTAGCTACATTTTATCATGGTGCACAAAAATGTGTAGTATTTTCATTATCTTTAAAATATTCAATCTGTGCATACTGGGATCTAGAAGCCTGTGCTTTTCTTTCTCCCCTCCATCCTCCTCCTCCTCTTCTGTGTCTCCTCAGTCCCCTCCACAGTACACTGCATTTTCTGGATTGACCACTAGATGGAAGCAAGAATTAGAGTGTTCCACAGCCCAGTGGGTAGGGCGTTTGTCTTGCACGCAGCCAACCCTGCTGACCTGGGGATGTATTCAATATGCCAAACACAGTAACAACAAGTCTCACAATAGAGACGTTACTGGGCCTGCTCAAGCAAATCGATGAACAATGGGAGGACAGTGCTACTGTCTGACGCCATCCCCTGCAAATAGTCAGATATAAAACCTAAAACACACGACAGTTTTCAAGATGTGGAGAGACTTGAGAAAGTATCTGAATGATTTAAAAATGAGTCAATACAAAGCCCTCTGGCATTGTTTTAGTGCTCCTATGATAAACTCAGCTTTATGAATCCTTGAGTTAAAGAAGTGTATGTAATATTTGTTCCTGTGTTCCTTTAAAATATTTTTATTCTGTTCATTTTAAATTATGTGTAGCTTTCATTTAAGTCTTAGATTTCATTTCCCTGAATTTTGAATAATCTTGTAAGAATTTTCACTTCAATTTTATTTTAAGCAATATTTTTTCACTGACAGAATGCAGGATTGTGAAAATACTAAAGATTTTTGCTTGTCAAAAAAAATCTTCCTACATATATAAATAAAATAAAGTTTTCATTGTATATTATATTTTGATTCTCTTTGATATCCTGCAGTGTATGCCTCAATGGGGGGAAATAATAAAATATCTAAAAATTCTAAACCAGTAGATACAAAACAAGCAACAAAATTACTCATAAATATTTTAACATGCACACTCTAATATTTTACATTTTTCTGAAATTCTATAGTTTAAATTTCACTGTTCATAGGATTATTAGTAAATATTGAGATTTGAAAATTCTCACTTAGATCTAGACATTAAGAAAAAAATGTCAAACCTTAACTACTTTTATAAAAACAAGTAGTATTGTTAATAGTAGAGGGACTCTTTTCCTAGTAACAGTTTCTAGAAGAGTTTAGAATTCTTCATGAAGTTGGCCAAAGTCTTCATGCTTTAGCAACCAGACTGTCACTTGATCGCTTGATCACTTGACATCCCATTACTCATCGATTCACTCGAGCAGGTGCCAGCAACGTCTCCATTTATCCCTGTTGCATGTTAATGTAGCCCAATGGCATCTGCTTGTTCTAGGAACATGAATAGCCTCAAACCGATCATTCAGGGTCTTGATGAAGAAGTCTGACCATCTCATAGGTGGGCAGCCATGGGATCTTTTGACATCCCGTGGAATGCAGTCGGTAATGGCTCTAGTCCAGCAGTCATCTCCAAATCGCATTACGTGTCCAGCCCATCTGATTTTCGACACCTTGGCAAACGAGACAACATCCCTGATTCTTGACCATCGGCGGAGGTCAGAACTCTGTATTCTTTCTCTCATTTGAGTCAAATGTGATACTCCAAGCATAGCTCTTTCGATTCCTCTTTGGGAGACCTGAATAGCGTTCTCATCCTGTTTGCATAAGGCCCAGGTCTCTGAGGCATATTTTAATACAGGAAGAACAGTGGAATCGAAGAGATGTGCCTCTTAGCTAAGAGGACGAACCAGACTCATCAGACAGGACAAAAAGAAGATTTGGGAGCAGCCAAGGAGAGAGAAATGGATTTCTCCCAACATTCTACATAGAAAGCCAAGACTTTGTTTTAAGCCCAGTCCTTCTGTCACAAAATGTCTAATAAATTTATTGCTGCTTCTTGAACTTGCTGCCCTGGCCTCAGCCTTGTCTCCCTACCTCAGGAAAACTGCTTAGAACATCTCCTAAGAAATGACAACATCCTACTATTTTGCTTACTCTGTGATTAAACGACAGTAGTTGAAAATTGTACTGCAAACTCCCATGCAGTAGATGAACGCTGAGTAGTTCAACTTGGAGTATTCTGATCTTTCAAGGCTGTTGAAGTGAAACATGAGATAATTACTTCACTGTACCTATCAGAGATCCATCCTACGAATGACTTCTTTGAGGGAAGCCTGATCTGATGGGGGATAAAATTCTTCTTTTCTGTTTCGAATTTGTCTTGACCCAGATGGTGAGGGTCAGCAGTGAGTATTGCAGACCCTGGTTCCTAGGGTCCAAGTTTTCCTCTGGCCTGATTCCTGAGTCTCATGAATGCAGAGTGCAAAGCAGAACCCCTGAAGCCACAGGCCCCACAGGCTAACCAGAGACTTGCAAATGAAGGAAACAAAGATAGTCCTCGTGATGGAGAGGTTTTGGGGCTGCCGTGCTGGCAAAGGGAAATGGAGCAGGAAGGCAACTTTGAGACAATCCCCAGTAACCCGTATGCCAGAAGCAAGCAGGCCCCTCACAGAAGCCAGTTCTGCCTGGGTGCTCAATCCTGGCTCTATTTTTAATGTCTTTGAAGTAAAGGGGGTCATGAAATGAATGCCAAGATGTTTATTCTAAAAGTCTCCTGTCTGATTTTGTTCAAAAAAGCCACCCTTGTCCAAAAACTGCGGCCTTATGGGCAGAGAAAATAATCAGAGTTTTGAACTAACAACTGGATTTGGAGCCTTCATTATGAGAAGACCTCTAAGGCACCCTGAAGAAAGATAGAACCCAGACTCTCCTTGCAAAAGCACCAAAGCCAACTCTTAGTTCATGACTCATGAAGCCCAATGGGGGCAATGGAAGGAGTAAATGCAGGAAAACAAGGGATCAAGGCTTTCCTTGATGCTTTGCAGAAGTGACTCAAAGTGACATAGTTTCTGGGCCACTTGAGCAAATGAGTTACCATCCACAGAGTCAGGCTTTAAGAGGAAGCTAATTCAGACTGAAAAGAAATACTTTTGTGGGCCAAGAGTGCATTAACATTAAAATGAAAGTACTGGTGAATCTCTATGACCTTGGCTTTATGAAATTTTTCACTGCATGAAGGAAAATTTGGAGTAGTGGATATTTAGAAGAGATTTTAATAGATCAAAGGCAGCTTTGTTTTGTTTGTCAGTGATGCTGCGACTCTGCAGAACTATTGCTATTCTTGTTCCTAAGCATGCAGTTTAGTATCCTTACACAAGTGAGGGAACCTGATTCTTCTTCAGTCTCTGAAACCCTTCTGCCATCCATGTAAAACATCAGTTTTTACCTAATCCTGCTAAGTAAACATTACTATATGCCAAAAACAGTAACAACATGTCTCACAATGTTGTGAGACATTACTGGTGCCCACTCAAGCAAATCGATGAACAATGGGAAGACAGTGCTACAGTGCTACAGTGCTCTCAAGGAGTTTTCACCTTTGGAGAAATAAGTTTAATAGATATAAAAAGTTTTAGATGCTGTAATTTTTCTCCTAGAGTTAGTACTATAAATACGTGTATAGATTAAGAAGTTACCCCTCTTCCACCCGGGGAAAAAAAGAGAAGTAACCTCTGTGTGTTAGGGGAAATACTGTAGAGTTAGGTCAAAGTTAAGATGGTCTCTGCATTCCCCTGGCCTTCTCCGTCTGAAGTCAAACTAGGTCTTCTTGTATGGAGAAGCAATATAGCCCCTACAGTGTGGGGTTTACGGTCGCAAGTCTAGAGCAGACACTTTGTTTACAAATTCTGTTTCTGACACTCTGGAGGTGGATAATTTTCTGATTCTCTCCTTTAATTTGCTATCCTATGTTCCATATGAAAAGAAAAGGAATATCTATTTCACAGTTACTACAATGTTTAAAGGAGTCAATGTAGGTCTAGTGGACAAGAGCTCATTCTTTGTATGTAGGCGTCCTGGATTCACACCCCAACACAAGATTTGCTGACACCATCAGAAATAACCCCTGAACATTGCAGGTCATGGTCTCCCCATAGGAAAGTTATTTTAAATGCCTATGTTTTTTTCTTCTCCGTATCTATTCAAGTCTACCCATTCTTCAAGGTCAAATCACATTTATTTATTTTTTTGTTTTGGGTGGGTCACACCTGGCAGTGCTGACAGCTTATTCCTGATTCTGTATTCAGGGAACCATAAGGGGTTTCAGGGATAGAACCCTGGTCAGCTGTATGCAAGGCAAGCACCTCGCCAATTATGCCAATTATTCTATCTCTCTGCTCCCTCAAATCATTTCTTGAAACAAACTTTTCCTAACTAGACTAATGTTAGACCCCATCATTTAGTTTATTTTCTCCCATCCATTCTCTTTGGTGACTTCCTTAGTATCCTTTTGGAAGGCACCAGCTCTCAACAGAGAGAGATTCCATTGCTGATAACCTAAGAAGATTGAATATAAGGATGTCTGACTGCTGGAAAATATACTCTTTCTCATTGAGACACTCTCAATCTTCCATAATGAAGCTCCTAAATGCCATATGACCTAAAGTCAGGCTAACACCAAGCATAAACTCTTCAAATATGACTGCATATGGACTCCTTGTCCAGCTATTTCTATGGAATTTTCTAATATAGTAACTCAGAAACTTAATTGTAATTATTTAAGTGGATAATAGATATGGTAGATTAGCCTTAGAGCCCCTTTCTAGCCCCCTCTCTTCAGGGTTTCCCACACTAAAAACATAATCCAAAGCAAGTCCTTGGTAAAACTTGCTGGAGTAAAGGTAGGAGGTAGAAAGATAGAAGAAGAGAAGGGGAAGAAAACAGGTAGTGAGAAAATGGAAGGAAGGAAGGAAGGAAGGAAGGAAGGAAGGAAGGAAGGAAGGAAGGAAGGAAGGAAGGGAGGGAGGGAGGGAGGGAGGGAGGGAGGGAGAGGAGAATCTGAAAATCTGAAAGGAATGGGGGATAAAGTAAATCAGAGTAGAAGGCAAGAGAAAGAAGGGGACTAAAAGTACAAAAGGAATGAGCAGTGCAAAATGATAGATGAGATAAAGGAAGTCAGAAACAAGGATGAGTAGAAGAGGGTAATTCAAACACAGACTTATGAAAGGAGCAAGAGATACAGAGCTTCTCCATGAGCCAGGTAGAGATGCCTGACAGTGAGGCAGATGGCACGCTGAGTTTAAGATTGATGTTAAAGATCTTCTGAATATATCCCAGGAGAAGTAGAAACATAAAGATTTGGGCCCAGTTCCAGACTTGGAGTGGACATGGTCAATGAAAGGGAAATTCAGAGAATATGGACTTACCCAAAGAACAGGATCTCTTTCCAAGAACCTCTCCCAGTTTACCTTCATGAAGCAAGTTTTAAAGATGAATCAGAGGTATCTTAAACTACTCTGACAAATTAGAAAATAAATGTGACTTCCCCTTTATAGATCCCACTTCTAATTCTGAAGGTTGTAATCACATCATTAGCTTTTCTGCTGCATATGCCAAAGGCCCCAAACCATGAGCCAAGGACAAGTGATCCAATACATGGTCTGCCCAGTCAGAGCTGCACACTTCCAGATGCCAACTCTGAGTATCTCCTCCCCACCATAGTATCAAGTTACTGGTCCTTTTTAGGTTCTCTCTAGGCTTACCTGTGCCTGAATTTGGTCTCAGAGGCCAGACTTGCAAGTAGAGAATCATCCCTACCACTGAAGACCAACTTTCTATTTCAGGTTGACACTACAGTGTTGCATTAAAGTTCCAATTGCTCTCTGCTGCCCAAGGGTAACTAGACGTTACCTGATCCTCCCCTATACCCTGATTTAATTTCTCAGATCACTATTCTGCCATTCACTTCCCCAACTTTTGTCCTCCTTATCTGTCTTTATGCTCCAATGTTTAACTGCAATTTTCCACAAGAGTTTTCCCTATCTACCCTAGCTGGTAATAATACTTGTTTCTCCTGCTGCTTTGTACTCTGTTGCACAGTTTGGTTTGCATGTCTCTAACTTTTCCTATCACTATTGTTCCTTGGATACAAACTAATGTAATTGTTCAAGAGCATAATTATCATCCTGTAGTCTTTAGACGACCCTAAATAGTAAGCCAGTGCTCATACTTGCTTGGTATTTGTTATTCTGCACTGGCTTGGTGAATCATTTTTTTCTTTGCACTCTGTTTTGCCTTGCAGACCTCAACATCAAATTTTTAGCATCACACTTTTTGTATATCTTAGGGGGATATCTGAGTAAGACATAAGAAGAAATTGGGAAAAAGAATTTTGGTGCTTGCCTTCAAAACTCAGGACATATTGTAAAATCAAATGGCTTGAGCTATGCTGGATGGGGAGGGGGAAAGTGTGAATCTCACGCCTAACACTGAGCTCTATTTGTCTTCTTTTTGTTTCTCTTCCTTTAAAGGAACTTGTGGACTATTTACGAGTCCACTCACATAGTGCTGTTTATGCTACATCCATGAGCCCCCCAGTGGCAGAACAAATAATCAGGTCCATAAAATTAATCATGGGACTGGATGGAACCACAAAAGGTAAGAAGGTCTGAAGTGACTACATTTCTATGAACTCCTATTCTTACATGCCTCACTGTCTCCTTTTCTGCAAATCTGTACCTTATTTTTAATCCAATCAATATGCTACAGATCAACTACTACCAACACACACACACACACACACACACACACATCCCAACACCATGTTTTTGTTAAAGCAAAGGAAAAGTTTATTGTATTGCTGTTGCTGTTGTTGGTAACAGGTGGTGTGAGTACAATAAGGAGTTAGTGTGTCTTGTTTATTGTTTGTTTATTTCTTTGTTTTTCTTTGCTTACTTTTCTATTGCCAGGGATTAAATCCAGGGCCTTATACATTTAAGGCATCAACTTTATACTAAGGAACATCCTGGTCTCAGTAAAACTTTGCAACTCACTTTGTAATGTAATCATCAAATTTTGATAATTTTGTACATGTGATTGAATAAAACATAGTTTAAACATAGTCGTGTTTAAGCAAAACAATGATGTTGTAGATTGTCCATGTTTGCCTGGGGACAATTGTAGTATTTCCATATAAACAAGATAGTCAATTTATTACTTTCCTTTTCATTCTTCATTTTATTCATGTTTAATTTTTGTTGTCAGCCATAAGTTTGGGTGAGGGAATCTATACATGGTTACTTGAGTATGTAAAGGCAAAAATGTATATAGTGATAGTAGTGTTCCTACAATTTCTTTCATATTGTGTGCCTACAGTCAAAATATTCAATTTTTTAACCCAAACAAATATTACCTTGGATTATTTTTAAAAAATAATTTCATTTGAGCCTCTTAGCACTTTCCTCCTGTCTTATCACAGTGGGAACAGAGTGATAAATAAGGCAGTTCTTGCTGCCAGGCAATCTGATGAGTGCATTTATGGAAGTAGCAAATTATCCAGGTCCCAAAAGTGACTGCTAAGTTATCTAAGCCATGTGCACCACCAGATCTCCCAACTGATGTGTAGTATTACATTATTTAGTGTAGCCTTCCAAGCCAACTATTTCAGTGGACGTAGGGAGAGATCCATCATTTTTCAATTTTGTTAAGGCAACGGGCTGTTTTCTTTATATAAAAATGTCATCCTGAACCAAAACCTTTTCTATAAAACTATTTAGAAAAGGTCTGTGTTGGTTGTAATATCTCTACCTCTTTCTATCCTGGTGGCCTTTCAGGCTTTTCCTCTGAACTCCACTGGGAACTGATTTGAAAACCCCAAAGATTGAACTGTATTTTCCATAGAAACAGGAACATGGATAGTAGAAAGACTTGCTTCCTCCTTATGAAATATAGTAATTGATTTATAAAGTCTCTCTCAGTCTTATTTTTTGAATTTTATGGTTCTGTCTATTGTTGAATTGTCTGCATGAAAAGCAAATAAAAATCCAGTCTACGAGTTCTACATGGCATAAAGGTTAAGGGCATAGACTGAAAGTGGCCATCTGGTTTTGACTAATCTACTTGCTGTGTGACCTTACAAAAGTGATTTAACTTACCATTTCAATACTGAAGAAGTTGTTTCAGATCTTCCAGTTATCAAAATGAGAAAGTAAATTCATGTGTTAAGTTTTTATTAGAATTACATACATTAAGACATATAAAATGCCAATAAAAAGAGTGCAAATAAAAAGGCTATACCTAAAATAATTATGTAGTAAGTATTTTACAGTTACTTGCTATTACTGCTATTTGCTGTTATTCCTGAGATTTTTTAAGAGGTATTTCTCAGATAAATACTATTTAAATAGACAAGCTTTCTATGATGGAATTAAGCCTAGATGTCTTCTAAGACTCTAGATAAATCAAGATAATATAAATTATTCCAATATTACCAAAATAAAAAAGGAAGGGAGGCAAAGAGGGAAGGAAGGAAAGAAGGAAGGAAGGGAGGGAGGGAGGGAGGGAGGGAGGGAGGGAGGGAGGGAAAGAGGGAAAGAGGGAGAAAGGGAAGGAAAGGAGGGATGGAAGAAGGAAGGAAGGAAGGAAGGAAGGAAGGAAGGAAGGAAGGAAGGAAGGAAGGAAGGAGGGAGGGAGGGAGGGAGGGAGGGAGGGAGGGAGGGAGGAAGGAAGGAAGGAAGGAAAACATGAGAATGTCAGTGACTTTTCTTTTCACTGGAGACTTGGGGAGTTAACCACATGTTTTCTGTGGTCACTAAGGATGAAAACAGAACAGGTTGAAACGGACACTTTTTAAGTTACAGACTGTTGTCCAAAATAGTCACATGGCTATACCACAAAATTACTGGGGAAGAGAAAAAGTAAGAATGTAGATATGATTTATTAATAGGCAAGTATTTTTCAGCCATTAAAACTGTAGCTAGAAAGAGTTGTATCCATTTTCATATGAACTAGATGAAAACAAACAAAGTCAGCATAGAACTATGGCTTCTCATGAAGCCATACTAATGATCTTGAATGGCATGCATTTCTTAATAACAAAGAACCATTAAAGACTTAAAATAAAATATAAGATAAATGCATTTTTTCACAATGACCAGAATTCTCTTTTAATTTATTTTAAAGAAAAATAACTAGAAAAATATAATTGTGAAAGAGCCTCTCTTTCAATACAAATTATTAATTTCTTAAATCCATTAGTATACACATGGTCCAAAATCTGTTGATTTTTATGTGACAAACCTCAATAATTTTATTCTGTCTTCTGGATTGCTTCATCACTTCATCTGAGACAAAACTCACTTTATTTGATCACAGATGAAGATCTGAAAATTACAGAAAGATATTTAAGATTTAAAGATCCTGTGCTTTCTACTTCAGTAGTCATCTAGCAGCAATTTTCACTCTGTAAGTGTAGGTGGAAGAGATTTTACTTGTTGCTCTCTCGACCTTATAATTAAGGAATTCTTTAGTTATTATTTTAACATCCTACTTAAAATTCCCCACTTTATTTTTCTTGATATTTTAAGAGAAGTAAATTTAAAATTGTAGAGAAGGCTAGGTATACAGACTGCTTTTAGAGACCCAACACAGAAGAATGACAAAGAAAGATAGGACGGCTTCTTTTCAAAGAAAAAAATAAAGGAAAGTAGTACACAAAAATTGACAGACTCATCAGCCAAGTTTCAGATGGTTCTGCCTAACTCCTCTTTTGAAGAATTTAAAGGCACACAGTGACTCTTCATGGTGGTTGCATTTGCAACAACGCCTGCTTTAAATAAAATGAATAAGACAGGTTAGGAATATTGCACTAACTCATCCCTTATTCTGAGATAAACTGATTCTAGGGTTAGAGTTGACCAAAGCTCAAAGGAATACACTCTTTTATGCCAGAACTGCCTAACAGGATCTGAGAAAGAGTGTCCAGCTCCAAGCCTTCAACTTCAGCTCACTACATTGCAACTGTGATCCGAGCCTTGAAAGGCTTTGTTTGGGGTTGAGTTTAGGGAACGGTTGGCCAGATCTGTTCCTTGATGAATGTCTTCACTTTAATCTGCAATGCAAAGCCATAGGCTTCAAAGAGAGGCAAGCTACAGGAATAAGGTCAGTGTTCCTTTGAAGCCAAGGTTCAAAGATGAAATAGCAATCCCAGCGAAATGACAGTGTTTATGCACAGCCACCTTCGCTCTGCAGCCAGGCTGCTCGTGGGGTTAATGCACACAGGCTGAGGGGCTGCCGGCCGTGTATGCATTCCACATGCATCGATGTCCTTTTAATCTCCTGCCCTGTCACTCCATGCGGCACAAGGAGCCCAAAGTGGAGATTTGATTTCTTGATCCTAATGGATATTGGGTGGTCCACCAGCCAAACCAATGCAGTAAGCCCCTTAAGGGCAAGAAATCTGTCTTGAATTAATTTTGTGTTCCTCTGAGTGTCAAACCCAGTGCTCAACATAATAAATATGTCATGACTCAACTTCCATCCTGCCAGCCTACTTGAATTCAGGTTACTGTTTATGCAAAACAACAACGAGGGGATGTTTATGTCATAAGACTGGAAGCTGGGAATCAGTTCCACACTAGTTGTGGCAGTTGAAGGAACTGCTCAGTTATTGGAGGGTTTCTCTGTAATTGACATCACTTTTGAGGAGCTCCAGAAAGATTGCAGTTCAATCTGTTCCTTCATCTAAATGTGCCACAGGGAGCCTCAGGAGTGTAATCCCTAAACCACACCAAGGACCCTTCAGAAGAAATGATAACCATTGTCTTTACATAAATTTTTGATGCATAATTTTCAATTCATCGTCAACATTCTCTTTAAACTCCCAAAATTGACCATACCTCTCTCTCTCTCTCTCTCTCTCTCTCTCTCTCTCTTTCTCTCTCCCTCCTTCTCTCTCTCCCTCCCTCTTTCTCTCCCTCCCTCTCTCCCTCCCCATCTCTCTCCCTACCCCCTCTCTCTCTCCCTATTTTCCTCAAATTTGGATGATGGATAACTTTTTCTTCCTATGAACATAATACCCAGTGTATGTACCTATGTTCAGACTGAAAAGGACCCAGATCCCACATGGTCCCTGGTACCATGACTGGCAGGTTGCTTATCGTCTCTTTTAAAACAAAATAATATTTTTAAACTCTGTTTTTATTTTTCAGCCACACTCATAACAGAGATCAGGCCTTACTCCTCACTCTGAACTCAGGAATCACTCCTTGTAAGGTTCAGGGGACTATATGCGATGTGGAGATTAAATCCAGGTTGATTACATGCAAAGCACGTGGCATACCTTCTGTATTATCACTCAGGCCTCAATAATATATTTCTAGGCACTGTGATTTATAATACTATTAGTGATTATGTTTCATTCATACAGCATTCCAATACCACAGTCTCCACCAAAGTATCCCTGTTTCATCATTGTGAATGGGGTGAATGGTGGTTATAGGGATAATTATATTATATACTATGGTTCATGTACTAATACATGATGCTTTATGTGTATGAAAATACTTATTGAACATTTCATAAAAATTAAAAGTTACATTAGTGGGCCTGCTCAAGAAAATCGATGAACAATGGGAGGACAGTGACAGTGACAGTCATTT